GTGTCGTTGTTCCCGATGATGACGAGCACAGCGCCGCCAATTCTCTTCATGCATTCACCAACGGAACCTGGCTCGGTCTGAAGATTGCCGCCATGATTACATCAACCCTCCTCTGCATCATCGCTCTCATCGGTCTCGTCAACGGCCTCCTTACCTGGTGGGGCCGATACCTGAACATCAACGACCCCCCACTGACCCTGGAGCTGATCGTCGGATACATCTGCTACCCTATTGCCTTCCTGCTCGGCGTCTCCCGTGACGGAGACCTGCTCTTGGTCGGCAAGCTGATTGGTACCAAGCTCGTTACCGTAAGTTCCCTATCTTCATACATAATCTTCTCTTCTAACCAACCACAGAACGAATTCGTCGCCTACGAGGCCCTCCAACATAATCCCGAATATGCAGTCCTCTCCGACCGCTCTCGTCTCATCGTTACATACGCGCTTTGTGGATTCGCCAACATCGGCTCCCTCGGTAACCAGATCGGTGTCCTGTCACAGATCGCCCCTGGTCGGAGTAGGGATGTGTCGCGTGTTGCTCTCAGCGCTATGATCACTGGAGCCATCAGTACCTTCACGAGTGCAACGGTTGCTGGCTTGTTGATTACCAACGAGAAACAGTACTTTAATGTTGACTCTTAATTACTTACTTGAATTATAATATGGGTGCTGGTGGTTTGATTCCATACGCTACTTGAGTATTTATTTATCGGGTTGTCCAACCCTGGTCGCGTCGACTTCAAAATTATGAGACGGAATCGATTTTAATATGACATATTTTTGTTTCTTCACTTCTACGAGGTGGGTTACATGACTTTGTCCTTGATATGATGTAGGACTTACCACCTCTATACCTCTGCGGAACTTAGTTTGCCCGAACTCTACATAGACAAGCGAGTCTGCTATACTTATGCGTCAGATACCAGAACACGAAGACTGTCCAGTAAAATCCCGGAGCCAAGTGTACAGGATCAAATTGACCTACAACGACACTGACAATGAATAGATCTACCTCCGTGGAGAAATGCCCAGAAGTGATGAAATGAGAAGGACCTGCCCAAAAACCTCAAGGACAAGAGTTTCTCACGCCTGTACCTGAATGCGGAGACTCAGAGGTACTAGTAGTAATGATAGAGACAAAGGTGCATAACCAAACAAACCAGAAACTCCCAGGCCCAAACCAGGCCCGTTATGCATTTACAGCACGATCCCAGCGTCCATAAGTGGACGACCGAGCCAACCGACGCCGATGCAGAATGAAAAAAAAAAAGAAAAGATATCCAATCCAACGATCTATTCATCGTCCAGGTCTTGATGACGTGCGAGAACATGGCGCTTGAATTCCGCCTGGTCCGAGTCCCAAAGCTCGGCGGCTTGGGCGTTCAGGGGGCTCGCACTGGGTCAATGTTAGCGCTGGTGGAAGGCACGGAGGAGGTGAGTAAATGCTTACTTGTTAGGTTCACCCAACAAGCTTTGCAAGCTGAGCAAAACACTCGAGACGTTGTAGACGGCGCTCCACTTGTCCTTGAGGATGTCGAGACAGATGCGGCCGGAGAAGTCGACGTTAGGGTGGTAGATTGGAGTCTTGAATAGGACTGTTGGGGGCGAGTAGGGGTAGTTGTTGGGAAATGCGAAGGAAAGTTTCAGTGTGAGGCCCTCGTAGGGTGTCTCGGTCGGACCGGTGATTGTTGCTGTCCACGAGAGGAGATTGCCGTCTGCGTCCGGGAAGGCGGAGATACCGGGCGAGGGGGAGAGCATGAGTTGCATAAGCTCGGCTTGCAGGCTGTACGAATAAAAGAGACCAGGTTAGCTAAGTGTAATCTCAAGTAGCAAACGAAATTGTGGAGCTGTTTGTAGGTGAGGGGGACGAACCGTTTGGTCACGCTCTGGGTGTCGCTTTTTTGACCGGATGAGTTCAACTTGTTGGCCTGCTGCGCCTCGGGCGCTGAGTTCTGCGTATCTTCCATGCTGTAGTCCATTGTGGAGTGGGAGGTGAGACAGTCGTGCTTAGGAAATAGCAAGATGAAGTCTGTGGATTCCTGGAATGCTAGTGACAGTAACACGAGGGTTTGGAATGACGCCGGATGCGTAACGAGGACCCACGGAGGATCTGAGGTAACGAATATTTAGAATGGAGGGATTGGGAAAAGGGGATTTATGAGGCGAACAAAGTGAACAAAGAGGAAAAATAGAAGTTTTGTTTACTCGGGTCCTTGAACACCCCGGGCAACGCGAGAACCCCGCTTGAATTTACTTAGGCCATCCCAGTGAAAGAAATTGTCATATTTATACGAGAAGATATGTATTGAATTCATATTCAACTTTAAGAAGAAATACAATTCAAAATATAACATTTGAATTAAATAGATCTGGCAAATTTAGTGCGATCGTCGACAAATGAACTGCGGGTCTGCCGTTTCAAGGTATTAATTCCATACAATAATAATAGAGTATATAGTTGTATATGAAGTAGTAGACATCCCCATGAAAGGTAGTCAGGCTATCCCCCGGGCTTTGTATTGTGTCTTTATCAACCGACTACCTGATTAGGATAAAGTGGTCCGCGTCTTGTCCCGCGTTTCGCTACCCTTGCTTCGACGCGACATCTCAGCCTTGTTTTCCACTCGGTATGCCGTTTTAATCTTAATTTATATCCTGTCTCTTCGTGTATCTCCCCATTACATTCAATCGCATTCACTGAACGTTCTGATCTTCCTCGAAATGCAGCATTCGCAGCTAGCCCCACTCCCGAACGATGTGCCGTTTCGAATCGTGTCCAAGACCATCGGCCAAGGTGCCTATGCATGGTAAGAACAAGGCCCATGGTATGGCGTATCCAGATCTGACTCTGTTTGATCCATCTAGCATCAAGAAAGCCTGCCCGTTGGATTCGGACAATCCTGTCTTCGCCGTCAAGTACATCCACAAAGATTACGCCGCTCGACATGGGAAGATCAGCGCAAGACAATTACAACTGGAAGTCACGGTACATAGACATGTCTCGGGTCATGGAAATATTATCAGTTTCTATCAGACTGGCGAGGACGAGGTGTGGCGTTGGATCGCGATGGAGTTGGCCGAAGGCGGGGATCTTTTCGATAAGATCGAGGCTGACGAGGGTGTAGGCGAGGATGTCGCCCATGTCTATTTCTCGCAGCTTGTCAGTGCTGTGAGCTTTATGCACTCCAAGGGCGTCGGTCATCGCGATATCAAGCCCGAAAACATGCTTTTGACGGGCGATGGGAATCTCAAGATCGCGGATTTTGGTTTGGCGGCGCTGTTCGAATACAAGGGAACGCGCAAACTCTCAACCACATTTTGTGGCAGTCCCCCATATATTGCCCCTGAGGTAATTAGCAGCAGTACCCGTGGTCAGAACAAAGGAGCTGGATATCATCCGGACCTAGTTGACATTTGGTCTTGTGGCATCGTGCTTTTCGTCCTGTTGGCCGGAAATACGCCGTGGGATAGCCCGACAGACGATAGCTTCGAGTACCACGAATATGTTGCGACAAAGGCGCGGACTACCGATGAGCTGTGGAAGAAGTTACCACCCGCTACATTATCACTATTGCGTGGCATGTTGACAGTGGACCCCGAAAAGCGATTCTCGCTGGAGGATGTCCGAAGGCATCCTTGGTACACCCGTGCAAACAAATACCTCTCTACCGATGGCAGGTTGAGAGATCCGATTAATCTTGCCACTTCGATGTTTGAATCCCTTCATATCGACTTCAGCCAAGATCCTCTTTCCCAATCGGGGAAGGGGTCAAGTCGCAGCTTTGACCCCATGGACATGGATGACGGGGGTTCAAATGCAGGGTTCTCCTCCACGCAACCAGAGATGTTGGGCGGTGGCATGTTGATGGACTGGGACAGTCCACAGAACGGGGATGTCTTTTCTTCAACCCAGCCCTTTGGGAAGAAGTTTGCATCTCAGGATGCAGCGATGGCCGGCCATCTCGAAGATGAGCCTTCTATGTCACAGTTCTCACAGCAGCCTTCGGTGCCTGTGAGTCGAACCCAAAACGCACAAAAGTTCCAGGATATTATCCCCTCACGTTCAATGACACGTTTCTATTCCGCATGGGAGCTCAAGCTTCTCGTGCCTCTCATCTGTGAGGCCTTTCACCGACTGGGGGTTCCAGTTCCGAGTGTCCCTGCTGTTGGTGCTGGAGATACTTCTGCCATGATTCGGGTGATTGCCAAGGATGGTAGGATGTGTCCACTCCAAGGTAAAGTGCTCATTGAGTGTGTTTCAGAGGGTTTGTTTGAAGTGGAATTCGTAAAAATCAAAGGTGATCCGCTTGAATGGCGACGTTTCTTCAAGAAGGTAGCGATCCTCTGCAAGGATGCCCTCTTCAGACCGGATGAGTAGAGGTACCTGCCTCTGTGGATTGCCATCTATTTCTTTTTTACGCTTTCTTATGTTTGCCTACATAACTCTTCAAATGTACGAGTCATGACTGATTGATGGTGGGGAAAATTGGGCCAGGCTGGAGTTTGGCTGTAGGAAAAGAACACCTCATATCATTCAAATTTCTATCTCTAACATGCATATAAATTCATAGATTCTATATATCTAAACTATGTTGATGTCTTTTTCTCCCAGCGTTAAAATGTACTTCATATATCCATGGACATGTGATATCGAACATTGAATATTCAAAGAGTCCAACCATGTGGAGTACCTGCATGGTAACATTGAATCTAATCCAATCCAAAGCGGATGGAGCATATAGAACATATCCGAATGTTCTTCGGAGTGGTTCTATACCGGTGGATCCCCGGAAAAGTCCCCCGAACCTGTTTTTAAGTCAACCCATACAAAAGTAAACATTGAACGGGTTTTATACCCTCTTGCCTAGACCCTTAATCCCATGCATCCACGTGACAGTCTGGAGCGCAGATCGCGGGGAAAAGCCGACCAAAAAAAAGTCTAGAATTTTGTGCAAAGAGGCCTTTCCCCTCCTTAAACTGCCATGCGGTTGATCCTTCTCCATGGATAAGCTGCCGGTAGAGATTTTGTCCAAAATCATCGACCGTAAGCTCCCCGGACCTAGGTTCCCCGCAGAACTGATAAAGTGATAGACCTCGCTCCACGAGAAAAGGTCCAACTTCAATGCGTCTCCAAAACGTTCTTTGAACTCGCCCGTGATAATAATCAATGGAAATTACACTGTTATGACCAGTCATTGGCTGCTCGACAGGCTGCCCGCTCCGCTGCCAGACCCTCGGAGAGTGTGATTACCGACGCGACTGTTCCATTGACGACCCTAGGACAGGAATCGCTGCGCGATATCATTCAGCCTTCTGCCCCGCCGGCGAACGGTGATTCCGATGATACCCAGGGACTATCTGCGAGTGAGAGGGTGAGGGCAGCAGCGGAATGGGACTCGTCGGCTGAGGGGGAGCATGTGGACTGGTATTCGGAATATATTGCTCGTCACGGCCCCATATCACTATCATGGGTTGAACAGCCCTCAATCCGCAAGGGTGAAGGGAAACGAGGGCAACCCTATGAGGTCAAAGGCATGGGACTGCTCAAAGACTGGAGCTCAGCCAGGCAAAACAAGATCGTTGCCCCGCTTGAAGATGGTAGCGTCTGCATCTGGGATCTCAATCACTCCCACTCAGCTGATTCCCAAGCAAGTAAAGGCAGGATCCTTGGGGTCAGTGAGCCTGGAATTCTCATGACCAATCTGTCTGGTCGTCGGGATCATTCCCCCTCCAAATCTTCATTGGACTTTATAAATCTGGGCGAGGGAGTGAGCGTGGATTCTCTGCGACAAAGAGCCTACCTGGCAGTTGGGAATGTCCTTAACGAGGTTGACCTGGAGACATTAAAAGTGATTTCGCAGCAGCGTTATCCCTGGTCGATTTTCGCCCTTTCCCAGGAGACAGATTACTCCGTGCCCTTGACACTAGCTACTACGCTCAGTCTGCAGCTCTACGATTCCAGACTGTCAGCCGTGGAGGAAGAAGAGGCAATCAGCTCGCGATGCGAGCAGGTGGCTAGCCCATATGCTCCCAAGCTGGGCATTTTTTCCCACTCTGATTCGCCCTTGTTCCAACTCCAATCTAATGGACAGCCACCCACTCGTATTCGCAGTCCGGGACCGTCAGATACAGGAGCCAACTACGCGCCACTCTTCCAACCTGGCCCTCTTTCAATCCTGCACCCGCCAGCTCCTCATGTGAATATCATTCTCGTTGCAGGGCGCTTCCCCAGCATCTTATGCTATGACCGCCGCTACTTCCCTCGGCTACAGACCACAGTTCATTCCGGCGGCCGACTATGTGGTCTTACCTCAGTACCGGCGCCTCGATTCCCCGTCTTCTCAGACTCCACCTACCCCGAGTCACATTCCGTTGTGGCATGTGGAGACTATAACGGACGAGGCTCCCTGGAACTCTATAATCTTAAATCAGCACCGGAAGAAGACCAAAGCACCTCGAACGTGACATCCACCCTCAACCCAGAATACAACAACCGCCAAAGCGCCGCGAGTTCCAAATTACTTTCCGTGGGGTCGCACGGGAATCGCATCGTCTTTTCCGACGCCGAGGGGAATATCAAATGGACCGAGCGAAACGGCCGTTTAGAAGTCCGACGGTGGAATATCAATACCGACCAGCCTCAGATCCCATTCGGTCGTCGCAGCCGACAGCCAACCCCACAGACAGAAGAAGACCAGCAGCCGCGTGGGCTCTGGCCATCTCAATCGCCGGCCAATAACGAGGTAGCCCGCAAGATTCTCCCCACTGGTGGGAATCTCACTGGAGATGAGCTCCTTATCTGGACTGGAGAGCGCATTGGTCGTATCAAGTTCTCCATTCCTGCGAATTATGAAATGGAGGTTGACCATGAAGAAGTTGATGACGATGATGATGTGTTTATGCACGCCGAGGTCGATGAGGCTACACGCGAAGAGATGCGGCATAGACGGCGTGATGATTGGGAGAGAGAGCAGAGGTATGGGGATTACATGCGCCGCGCGCTTGAGAGGCAGGCGGATGAGGTCCGCTGGATGGGGAGTCAAGGGCTTGGCTGATATAGTTTCTTCATATCTATTGCATATGGATCGCTAGTGTCAGAAACACGAGTATACCTCTAATTGAGTAGTAATCCATAGAACATTTGGAAAGTCGGAATTAACGAAATTCCTAGACCTCGGAGCCCCCGTCTGGGCTCCCGAGGCTTAGCAATCGCCCGGTCCGCAATTCGGCTCCCCCGCGCCGATATCACGGGCATTTCTAATATTCTCGTCAGCCAGTGACTCAGTCTCCAGTTTTCTTCTCCTTCTTTCTTGGTTCTAAGACAAGAATATTCCTTCTCTTGATTAATTGTTCATTTTCCTCCCAGTCATATCTCCTACACCCCCGTGCACTTTACACTACTCGTCCTCGAAATTCCGCAGTGAGGGGCAAAAAAGAAACCAAAATGCCTTCACCCACAGAAATCGCACACCAATTCGACTCAATTGAGGATTCAATTGCAGCATTTAGTAAGTGATCCTCTCAAAAAAAGGATCGACTTCACCACCAGGAGCATCGAGCCGCTCGCGGCGCCTTCCGACCCGACCAAACGACTGACGGAAGACCTACAACAGAGAATGGCGAATTCATCATCGTCCTGGATTCGCAAGACCGCGAAAACGAAGGTGACCTAATCATCGCCGCCGAGTCAGTCACAGCCGCCCAGATGGCCTTCCTGGTGCGCTATACAAGGTAAGAGCGCCACCCAAGACAGCGACGAGGGACGACTACAAACCCCCACACCCCCATCCTCCCTCACCGCGATAGCACACCTACAAAGGCAAAACGCACCAATATAAGCAAACCCTCGCTAACGTTCCCAAAACACAGCGGTTTAATATGCGCCCCGATCACCCCGGAGCTCGCCACCCGCCTCGCACTCCCACAAATGGTAACCGAGAATGCCGACCCGAAGTGCACGGCGTACACAGTCACAATCGACTCCAGCGACGACTCCGTGACGACAGGAATTTCCGCCGAGGACCGCGCACTGACCTGCCGCACGCTCGCCTCGCCCACGGCACAGATCGACTCCTTCCGCCGGCCGGGCCATATCATCCCTCTGCAGGCTCGCCCTGGCGGCGTGCGCGAGCGAACGGGCCACACCGAGGCTGCGGTCGATTTCTGTAAGCTTGCTGGCAAGGCGCCTGCTGGTGTTATTGCCGAGCTTGTGGAGGAGGGAGAGGTTGTTCAGGGTGTTGCTGAGATTGGGGGGAATAACGGTATGATGCGCCGGGATGGGTGTTTGCGATTTGGAAAGAAGTGGGGTATTAAGGTGTGTACTATTGAGGATTTGGTGGAGTACCTGGATCGTGCTGAGGGTGGTGCTGCGAATGGGAAGCATTGAGTGATGGGCTTGGGCTTGATTTGGGGTTGCTTTGTGTTTTTGTTGGGTTGTGTGCTTTGGGTACCTTGTACATCACTACGCCTTCTCTTGGATACCTTTTTTTTAGACGAATTGATGCATATGGATAGACTTGTGGCTTCGGTGGTGGGAGTATGAGTGTAGAGAGTGGTGGACTGACTGGGGGAACATTGGTATATCAAAGGTTACGTATGGATCAGTCATACGAACATTTGATGCTTTTTCCTGCGTTTTTCTGTCGTCTGGGTTGCCTATAAAACCGAGCAGGAAACAATGTCCAAAAGACTACCCAAACACCACAAGGCCGCATAAGCGGTCGACTATTTAGGTATATGTGAGTAGTAGGGTTGTAAGGAATCGATTGACTTGTTTATTTGGGTATCTATCATTTTCTGCGTGTAGTGTACAAATGTCAATGCTGTCGAAGCAACTGTAAAAATTATGAATGAGCTTCCATGCGGCGACAATGAGGCCGCATGTATTTTCCCGAAACGCTAAAGCAATGCAAAGCAAAGAGTATATCAAAGCAACTTCTGGTGTGGCAACGAGTAAAGTGAGAGCCTCGCGGCAAACCTAAATAACTCCCTTACCGTTTAAGATGCGAGTAGTCCCTGAGAATGCCCGTCATATGAGTGTTGGTGGTCTTACCACTTCGGCGTGGCTTCTTGGACTTTTTAGACGGCGCAATGACCCGGGGACCGAGCACCTTGTTCTTGTTGGTCGGTGTGATGCCGAACTTGTCCAATTCTTCCTTCACTATATTCGCATCGGGAACTTTGATCTTCTCCCAAATTTGTTTGAACTCGTCGTCGAAGTGTTCAATTAGGGACGGGTCGTTAGGCCACACCATTTTGGGATGGTCATCCTTCTTGTTTCGAGTCACAAGCAGTTTTCCCTCCTTCTCCATCTGGTTGATTTCCTCTTCGACGGTGGGCCAGCCCTCCCTGAGCTCGCGAACACTCATACCCGCCGCCGTTTTCTGGGCTTGGAGGTATTTCAGGAGTTGCTCTGAGTTGCGAATGTTGTGAGGTGGTCGGAACCTGAATGTGCCCTCGCCGTTCGCACCGCTCGGGTCAAACTCAACCTTCTCGTGGATTTGCAGAATTCTCCGAAGAGCCTGTACATAGCCTTGATCATGTGCGCGATGCTGCAGTGAGAGGTATGAGATGATATCCGAGAACTTGAGTGGCACGTTCTTGTTCTTCATGTGCTCGATCGCAAAGAGCACTTGGGTCATAATATCCTTGCCCGTGCCTGTGTTGGCTGGCTGAGAGTAGACGATATCCGGGTCATGACGCTTCTTTTTGATCTCGGTGGTGGATGACGGAGTCGGTGCGGACGATGGGACTTGAGAACTGCTCGCAGAGACTGGTTGGTTACTGACCACACGTCGCTGTGTGGGCATGCGGTTTGCCGACTCCACGACACTAGCGTTGAAGCTTTTCAGCTGATTCTGAAGATACGACATGGTTGCGACGAAGGATCGGAGATCGCTGAGACTCAAGAGAAGAATGGAACAGAGGTGAGATGGTAGCCACTCGGTTTGAGGCAGATGGAGCTGGAGGGTTTAAATGGCGCTTGACATAGGTACCGGAAGTATTGTCCGAAAGAAAATAAGGAAATACACCTGAAAAGGGTTGTGTACGGAATGAGGACAGTCTAGTCGAGCAGTTAGTCTTCGAGGAGAGTACCTAGTAAAAGATTGAAGGCCAGACAAAGAATGTCACGTGTTGTAGCTCAGCAACCCCAAAGCGCGGAAATGGATCTGGGACGTGAAGTCACCTCACCACCATTTCTTCCAATTACCATTTCGTTCAATTCTTCGTTGTCTCCCCCCAGAAGACATCCGTTTCTCTCGTTCACATCGTCATGACCTGAGGTCCCTCGCCCAGCGCTGTGTGTAGTTGTCTCTGAACAGTACACGGCGCGCCTGTCCTCGAGGACCCAACTCTAGCTTCCGCCGCTCTTACTTATATTTCTTGATTTCTCTGCCACAGCAGCTCAGTGCTGTTGCTGGCCGACAACATGGCCGACACTGCCATTCAACTACCATACCTATCCTCCCACTATGCGCTCCCCGAATCGACGCTCACGACCTTACGGCAGGCCCCAACTGTGGAGCTTGTCAATCAACTTTTAGAATCAATCAATAAAAAGGCCCATGAATCTGATGAGCTCAAGTCCGACAAGCTTCGCTTGGAGGTAGAGCTTGAGAATGCTGTGCGCAGCAATGAGTCGAAGGTCAAAGTTCTGAAAACCACCGTTGAGAAGGGACATGCGGAGGTCGAAGATCTAAGGAAAAAGCTGCACGAAGCTGGTACCTATCACTGTTTTCTTTTTATTACTGACGGACTCTTCTCTGACATTGGATAGAAACTACCCGTTCCTCACTCGAGACAGAGATCTCTACACTGAAATCCTCGTCCACGTCTAACGAATCCGAAACCACATCCTTGAAAGCGCGGATCTCATCTCTGGAGGCATCCAACAGAGACACACTGGGCTTGCTCGAATCTAAATCTGCGGCCTATGACAAATTGGCAGAGGAGCTTTCGCTCCAGCACAAGAAGACCATCGAATTACGACGTGAACTCTCAACCGCGGAGCAAAGTCTCCAGAATGCCAATGCGGCATCTGCCAGCGCCCGCTTCCGCGAACAGAGCCTTCAACAAGAACTGGATCTCACCAAAAAGAACAACGAATGGTTCGAGACCGAACTCAAGACAAAATCCGCTGAATACATCAAGTTCCGCAAGGAAAAGGGTGCTCGTATCTCGGAGCTTCAGCGTGACAACGAAGAAGCGAACTCGACAATCGACTCTCTTCGTCGAAGTGAGAACTCGCTAAAGAGTCGCTTGGACGAAACTGAGCAGCGATACGAAACCTCTCTGGCTACGATTCATCAGTTGAAAGAGGAGGCTATCCAGGCAACCGAATCCTTCCGCATCGAACTCGACAGCTCCAACCGATTGGCTGAGCTACAAGAATCTGCTGCTCAGACGGCTAAGCAACGAGTTCAAGAATGCCAACTCGCCGTCGAAAAGACAAAGGATGACGCGGCACAGGAAATCTCACGCCTCCGCGTTGAGCTTGAGACGGAGTCCAACGACAAGGGAGCCGCGGAGCGCCGAATTGGCGAACTCGAGGCACTTGTTGCCCAGCTTGAGTCTGAACCTGTCAGAGGAAGATCAGCAAGCCCCGCTCTCTCGCTAAATGGAGGTGCACCCAGTACACCTTTACGATCAAGCATCATACGTGCTGGCACTCCTACTGGCTCATTCTCTCCCCGCGCATCTCGCGGCAAGGGTGGTATGAATGTCACGCAAATGTACTCCGAGTACGACAGAATGCGAACCGCTCTTGCGGCTGAGCAGAGAACCTGTCAGGAACTCCGCAATACCGTTGACGAGATGGTTCAAGAACTTGATGCAACCAGACCCGAAATTGAAGAGGGACGAGCAGAGCAAACTCGTCTCGACCATGCTGTTGTGGAAATGTCTACTCTCCTCGAAGCGGCTGGGAAGGAACGGGATACCGCCATCAAGGAAGCCAGGAAATGGCAAGGTCAAGTCGAGGGCTTGGCTCGCGAGGGCGACATTCTACGCCAGCAACTTCGTGATCTGAGTGCGGAAGTCAAGGTTCTCGTTCTGG